CCTAAAATGTATAAAATCAAGTTGTACCTCGACCACCTTGGGCACATGTTCTCGGGACCTCCTGAGGGCGGTCATAGGCCATGGTCACTTATATTTGGCTCAGAATAAATCTCTTAAAATATTTTACACAGTTTGATGCTTTTTGCTGACAATTACATCATTATTTTCTACTATCAGGCAAAGCAGCATGAAGAATGATCATGCATGGCAAAAAAATTAATACATTTCCAGGTATTTTATAGCATGCCTAAATTGTTTGTATTAATAATATTTTCTCATGCAAACACAACACAAGGAAGATTAAGTATCGTTTCTTATTTAACAAAGATTTTCATGTAATTTAACATATCAGGAAAACTAATGATTTTCAAACATTCTTCTTTTTAAAGGTGAAAAAACAAATCCTTTGAGATTTTTCTGGAACCCCCCTGAGAAATCTGTCAGTCTGAGATACAGATTTAACTTAGGATTCGGTTTTGGGAAGGCAAAATATCACAAGTTGTCAAAATGTCAAAAGGTTTGAACGGTTGTTTACATAGGATCGTAGGTCACCGTGAAATAATATCTAACCAAAGGGAAAATAAAATATTTTAAAGGTAACTATAGAAGGCAGCATGGCTTTTTTTTAAAAAGCTTAGATTTATATTTTTTATTTTTTTTTTTGAGACAGGGGTCTGTGTTGCCCACGCTGGAGTGAAGTAGTGTGATTTTGACTCACTGTAACCTCAAACTCCTGGTCTCAGGTAATTCTCCCACCTAGCCCTCCTAAAGTGCTGGGATTACAGATGTGAGCCACTGCACCCAGCCCCAAAGCCTAGCTTTTAAAAGGGAGAAAATTCACTTCTTTTAAATAATCGAGGAGATGATAAAGATAACACAACCAATTATTCTGATAAAACACAGAATCTATTTCCTAGATGGATTATTTAAAAAGTAAAGAAAAATCTATTATGACCATTTATTAGAAGCAGACTAATAATTCCAAAATATGTTGTCTTCTTTTGTTTGTTTGTTTTTGTTTTTTGTTTTGAGACGTAGTTTCTCTCTTCTTGCCCAGGCTGGAGTGCAGTGGCATGATCTTGGCTCACCACAACCTCTGCCTCCTAGGTTCAAGTGATTCTCCTGCCTGAGCCTCCTGAGTAGTTGGGATTACAGGCGCCCACCAGCATGCCTGGTTAACTTTTTGTGTTTTAGTAGAGACAGGATTTCATTGTGTTGGCCAGGCTGGTTGCAAACTCCCAACCTTGGGTGATCCACCTGCCTCAGCCTCCCAAAGTGCTGGGATTACAGGTCTGAGCCACTGCACCCAGCCCATATTGTCATTTTTAAGAGAGAGAAAGCCAAACTCTAATTTTGCATCAGTGCACTATTGACATTAAGGCTCATTCTAATACCTTATAAGTAAATCCGCTTCATCTTGATCAGCTTGACCACATGAGGTAAGATTCTCCTTCTCTTTTCTCTTTCTCTTTATCCATTTAATTGTATACTTTTCTCTTTCTTCTTCTAGCACAATCTTTAAATAACCACTATTACAACCACTTTAGGAAAAAATACTCTTTTTCCCTTAACAAAAACCCATCTTACATTCCTTGTATCCTTTGCATAACATACAAAGTTGTTTTTTGTTTGTTTGTTTCTTTGAGATGGAGTTTCCCTCTCATTGCCCAGGCTGGAGTGCAATGGCATGATCTTGGCTCACTGCAACCTCTGCCTCCCAAGTAGCTGGGGGCATGTGCCACAATGCCTGGCTAATTTTTGTATTTTTAGTAGAGACAGGGTTTCACCATGTTGGCCAGACATGTTGGCCAGGCTGGTCTTGAACTCTTGACCTCAGGTGATCTGTCCACCTAGTCCTCCCAAAGTGCTGGGATTGCAGGTGTGAACCACTGGGCCCTCTCTCAAATCTGTTTCTTTTCACCCTTATTTCTAGTAGTTTCATTTACATATAATTTTTATCCATAACGTTTATTTTGCAGAGAAAACTAGGAAATAGACAGTTGTGAATTGTTTGTCATATGCCGGCATTTTGTAGCAGATTAGCACATTTTATGAATATATCATCTCATAATTTCTAGAGGTATATGCTTTTTATAGTAAAAAGAAAAAAATTTCCAAGGTGGTAAAATGTTAAAGACATGTTTATAAAGAAACCCAGGCTAGGCATGGTGGCTCACGACTGTAATCCCAACATTTTGGGAAGCCGAGGTGGATGAATGACCTGAGGTCAGAGGTTCGATACCAGCTGGCCAACATGGTGAAGATGAAACCCCGTCTACTAAAAATACAAAAATTAGCCAGGCATGGTGGCACGTGCCTATACTCCCAGCTACTTGGGAGGCCGAGGCAGGAGAATTACTTGAACCCTGGAAGCTGATGTGGCAGTGAGTCAAGATCAGGACACTGCATTCCAGCCTGGGCGACAGAGCAAAACTGTGCTGGGATTACAGACGTGAGCCGCCGTGCCTGGCCTGACTAATGTGCTCTTTACTTCTGCTGATTGTCCTCTGTGTCCTTTCGCTGTCATGAACTATAACCATGTGTAGAATAGCTTTTCTGAATTCTGCAAGTTTTTCTGAAGTGTCCCTGAACTTGAGGGTAGTCTTGGGGACCCCCACCACCGATCCCTCTGCCCACTATACTGTACACCCCAATTATCTTAAAGAGAGAAATTAAGCCCAGACACTGTCTACCATCAGGGAGTTCGTGGTTTCGTGAGAGAGCCCAGAAGCCGCTCCTCCTGCCCACTGTCGTCCGGACCACTGGGCGGTAGCCAGCGAGCCGGGCCGCCTGGGCCACTGTGGGAACCGAGCCCGAGGAGTTGGCTGGTCCCCACCCAAAAAGAAAAGCAAGTCCCCAGGGAGAAGAAGCAAGTCTGCTCGGAGTAAGAGGACCCAAAGTCCTCACCACTCAACAGTCAGAGTGAAGCAGGAGCGTGAGGATCATCCCCAGGGAGGACGGGAGGATTGGCAGCACAGGGAACCGTGGGAACAGGAACACAGGAGAGCTAGGAAGAGTGACCGGGACAGATACCGGGGCCATTCCCACCGAAGGAGAACGTCTAACGGGAGGCCTGGGAGTGGGCAGGGTCAGGGACGGGATGGAGACACTCAGAACCTGCAGGCTCAGGAAGACAAGTGGGAGTTTTGTAATGCCAGGCGGGGAGCATCGCCAGAGGAGTGACACTGGTGGTGGGGACAGTGAGTCTCAGGAGTTATTTCCTTGGCCTGGTGGCAACAACAAAGAAAAAGAGGTGCCTGTTAAAGAAAAACCAAGCTTTGAACTTTCTGGGGCGCTTCTTGAGGACACCAACACTTTCTGGGGTGTAGTCATTAAATATAGTGAGCCCCCAGAAGCACACACGTATCCCCAGAAAATAGTGGCGTCTCCACCCGTTTAAAAATGATGAGGTGCTGCCAGTCATGTACATACATCGACAGAGTGCATACCTACTGGGTGGACACCGCTGCGTTGCAGACATTCCGATCCATTCGCTTTGAACAAGACATTCGCCCTTCTTGTTCAAAGCAGGATGCGGTCTTTCAACTTTGGCTTGTGGAATATACCTGTGCTGATGGCACGGTTGGCCGAAGAGTAAAGCCCTACATCAGTGACCTTGGCTCAGGCAATGGAACTTTCTTAAACAACAAACGTATTGAGCCACAGAGATACTATGAACTAAAAGAAAAGGATGTACTCAAATTTGGGTTCAGTAACAGAGAATACGTCTTGCTCCATGAGTCCTCAGACACTTCTGAAATAGACAGGAAAGATGACGAGGATGAGGAGGAGGAGGAAGAAGTGTCTGACAGCTAGCAAACTAAGAACACAAACTGAGACAGGCTTTCCTTCTTGGAAGGATCTGACTGACTCAGAGAGCCACAGTGCTCTCTGTAATGCCTCTTATTGCCTTAAATCTTTTCCTATGTTGCTGACCCGATTGTGTTACCATTTAAATACACTGACTAATGTTTTGTTAATTTTTTTTTCTGTGGCGCGTTGGCCACATGCCTGCTGGCATTTGTTTTCAAGACAGTCTCACCGATTACAGCACATCATGTTTTAGTAGAAGCCTTGTGGAAGCAGGTGTTTTCAGAACTGCTGCCTAGGAAACGATGAACCCTTGGTTAAGGGGAAATCCTGGCTTGTTCTCTTTGTAGAGTTACTTTATTTATAGAGATGTTAAGCTTTGTGGACCAGGTGTTTTTCTTTTGTGGCAAACCCCTGAGCAGAGAATCTTACTAAGCTTTGGTTATCACCAAACAACTCTAGTATATACCAAAGCTTTGACCTGGTTGAGCTCTTGAGCGTAGAAGTTGATTTTGCACTTAGTGTTTTGGGGGTGGGGGTGTGAATGTACGCAGTCAGTAAGCATTATTGACTGTTTAACTTAAACAGATGCTTTATGGCCCCTGCTTAAGCCCATGACTATACAGAAGGATTACGGTTGCTACCAATGGGTGTTGATTCAGCGTCACAAGTGACTGAAATTGGCCATGGATCTGTTCTTTGAGAGAATTCTGATTTCTCCATGGAGCATGTACATAACAATTTTGATCATATTAACTGTACTTCAGTTTCGTGTTTTTATTCAAATGTTATCTCCTTTTTTTCTCTCTGAGAAATACACTGTCACTCATGTGACAGGGTCCATACTTTGATAACGTGTATATGTCTAAAGCAGGTTGTGTTGTTTACGTGTTTCTACACATTTCGTCCTTTAAAAGATTGTTCAGAGAGGTTGTATTTACCTTCCCAAGGCTGGAAAGCAGGGGAATTTCCTAGTTTCCTAGTTTTCCACCAGAGGAATATGTGTAAGTAGAAAAGCGTTAGCTGCTTACATATAGCGTGTATGTATGTATGTATGTGTGTATGTGTGTATGTATATATGTAAATTGTGTGTTAAAGAGCTGATACTGATTTTCATATGACAATGTTAGGCAAAGGCCTCCCTGCATTTGAAGAGCAGGTTTTCATTTATATGTATTTTTGGGATAAAATTTGTAAATATATTAAAAAAACACACACACTATGAAATGTACCTCAAGGCCTCTACTGAGGCAGACTGCCATTGACTGTGATAAGGCTGTGCAGCTGAGGTGCATGAATTTCATGTGTATGCAACCTGAGAGGTATTTCCAGGAAGCTAAGCTTCACACTAGGAAATGTCTGTGTAGGTGTATTTGTTTATTTTAAATGCTTAAGGAGTGATCAGAGACTATGGTGGGTAGGGGAAGCTGCTCTTCCAAAGAGAAATTCGCTCTCATTTTCTAATGAATTCTTCCTCCTCCCTCTGCTTCCCTGCAGTGGAAATGTGGCGGAGACCAAAGCTGCGATTCCAGTCCACACCAGAGCCCAGAAAGATTCCCAGGACCTTGGAGACGCCTCCTGAGCACCAGGAACCTGTGGAATGCAGGAAGGATGGTCCTACAGGGACCACGAGGAACAGCAATTGTCCGTAGTAAAATACGAATGACAAAGGCAGGAAGGCAAAAGAAGGCTCCCAGGTTGGCCCAGGTGAGATGAGAGGCCCAGTTCTTCGGAAGTATGTGTGGTGTCCCACCAGAGCCCCCAGGGGTCTGTTGTGGGCGCCACTGTGTCTGAAGTGTGTGTGTGGTGGGGGGTGTCAAGGAAGGGCCTTGAGGCTCATTTCCCTGGCAGCAGCAGGAGCACGCGGCTGGCTCGCTGCAGCAGGCAGGTGGATGGGCGATTGGATGAACAACAGTTGAGAGCTGAGCCCACAGAGTGGAGGAGGAAAGAGAGGCACATGGATGGCGACGCGGACACAGTCCACCAGGGCCTGAGAAACCCCACACCTATGCACTCCTCTGTTTATCCGGAAAGGAGAGCATCAGGTTTGAGGAGGAATGGAACCTAAAACAAATATCTTCCCTAAATGGGGAATTAATGAGACCCGTTGCCTCGGCTCTCCAGTCCCTGCTCCTCACACAGAGTGCACCTAGTGAGCTGGCGGTGGCCTGATGGCAGGTGATTCCTTGTGTGCCCAAGCCCAATCATGTAGTCAAGGCGAGACCCACTTCTCAGGCTTAAGGCACCTACAAATGAAGTAGAACTTAGGACCCCCATGCTTCTCAATGATCCTAGCAGGCATCCCTGGGGTCTCCACTCTTGCCAGTTAACCCAGTTGACCACATTAGGGAGTGTCAGGGACTGTCACACCTCCCCAGTGACAATATCATAAAGGAAGAGACTGTAGACAGAAGATATGCTCTTGAAGTGCACATTCATGAGAACAGACCCAAATAAACTCAGATGGTCTCACTCCCATTGAGGCTATATAGAACGCATGACAAAGATGCACATTATTTTCAAGAACACTTTTCAAGTATTACATAAATTTATCACATAGCGATTAAACAGTGCAATCTCTAATCCTGAGTGTCTGCTGCCAAAAGATGTCTAATAGTATAATGAGAACACTTCCTCCAGGGCTCAAAGCATCCTTCCTATCAGGTACAGGCCAGACATCAGGCCCCAGGGGTCTGGAGCGGGCAGGAGGTGAATGACAGGACATGGCGTGAAGCAATCAATTTATATGGAGGACATGAGTGAGATCAGAAGAGGCTGCTGAACGCTGGACTTGAGCCAAGCATGGGATGCCCGGACCCGCTCTTGACTCACAGGAGCTGGACCTCGGGTCATCCCAAGCCACTCCTGGCTTATGGTGGGAGCGCACATGTTCCAAAACCCAGGACAGTGAGGACTGTATTTGGGGCAGAGTAAGAAGAAATGGATCAGGGCAACATACAAAAGATCTAAAGAAAATAAGTAAAGGCTTAATTCTTGTTTTGAACATAATTTGTCAAAGAGTTTGTGTTTTTGTGGTTTTGTTACAGCAAGCTCCTTCATTGGGTAACTCAAAATTATGTTCCTAATTAAAAAAATGTCATTTGGAGGTTTGTTTGTATTTTCATTATACTTTTTAGTTCTGTGAATTTCAAAGCTCTATTCCGGGTTGATGAAAGTAGAAAACGTACGGTGTGGGGAAATTACGAGAAAAGAGGAGATTCTGAAATAATCCTTAGGAAACAACCGGAATTCCTGGGAGAATTTCAGACTTTCAAAGGCTATGAAATGGATGGACTCAGGCCTAGATCTCTAAGGGGACAAGGAGAACAAGGTGACACCGGTGTCCCAGGGGACAGAATAGAAAACGGACCCAGGCCTGTCTCTGACAGGGTGAGCTGCTGGAGTAGGACCTGGTAGACCCAGGGGGGTGGAGGGACCCAGGGCTGGGATCTAAGGGAGGGGCTGTGCTTCAGCCTCCTCCTCCCACTGCCCCTCCCCTGCACCCAGGAGCCCTTTGTGAGGAGGAAGCCCCAGCTATGTGATGCAGGCCTGGGCCCCAGTCCCTAGTCCCAAAGGGGATGCCCAAGGCTCAGTTGCTTGAAGACGAGACATTGCACTTCAGATGAAAAAAATGCTCTTTTGTCTGAAGGGCCCTAGTGCCACGTGGCTGAGCCCCAGCTCCAGTCCTTGGGTGATGGATCTTACCCTCACTGGGGTGTGTGCCCTGGGGCTCCTCTTCCTATTACTCCCCCACCTCCCCAGTGACACACCCTCACCCCTGCCCCCCAGAGAAAGACTCTCTCTTGTTTTCCTCCCCTCGTTTCCACTTTTCCTAAGGAACGAGAGACGCTCCTGTGATGGGAAATCTCATGGTCCCTCAGGGCAGGGCAGGGCAGGGCAGGCGGGGTGAGAGTGCACAGAGGATTCCATGCCCAGCTCCCAGGCCATCTGTGGGGTGGGCAGGAGGCTTCAGGACACAAATCAACACCGGGCTTAGCGGCAAGGACAGGCTCAGGAGAGGGGTGAGGGCTCTGTGGGAGATAGGCCCCGGCCCTGGCTCATCAGCCCTTCCCGGGGCAGGTGCTGGGGCCCAGTTTCCTCTGCGTGGGGTGATCTGGAGCTGTGTGGAGACCCTGCCTGCCAGGAAGGGAAGTGGTAAGGGGCGGCAGCCAGTCAAGCTGGGGCATGCATCCTCTCCTGAAATCTGCCTGGAGAGGCCAGGACCACAACGGAGAAGGCGGGCCTGGCTCCAGGCGGCAGAGAGGCACTGAGGCCCTAGGGGAGCCTGGCTGGATCTGGCTAGTCCTGAGCTCTGCTTCCAGCAGGGTCTGGCACTGTAACCCAGGGGACAAGGCCAGCCAAGACATGGCCACTGGGTGCCAGCCAGAGCCTGGGCCAGGCACTAGGTGGGAAGGGCTCTGGTAGATCAGCCCCGCATGCCCCACAGCCCCACAGCGGGGCCCTCCGGGGCCACACACCTGCCCAGAGGAGCAGGACGTCCCTGGGGCTAGAGAGTCCAGCTAGACGGGTGGGGAGCCTCGCCCTGTGCCCTTTGACTCCACCTGTAGGTGCTCTTGCTGGGCTCCTGTGCACTGCCCCACACCCTGCTCTGTCACCAGCCCCATTGAGAAGTCATAAGAGCCCAGCTGCCCAGTGCCCCACCCAGCCACAGACTAGTGGGTGACTCAGGAGTACCCTCTCCATTTCTGACTGTGATTTCTGTCCGTGCACAACTGGTGCAGTATGGGAAATCTATTCAGCAGATTTCGTAGCTGGCTCCACCGCAGGCGCCGGCAGCGGTGGCAACCGCAATGGTCCCCTCCTGTCCATGAGGACTTTTCGGCTCACCGGGTTCACCCCGCAGCTCCTGCGTGTGTGCCTGCCCGGGGAGTCCTACGCTCTTCTCGATTCTTCAACTATCAGCGAGATCTTAGGCCTTGTTTTCCAGTCAGCTGGAAGATCCCGAACTCGAGCGCCAATCTGCGGGACCTGCCTCCTCTGGTCTGCAGGCCCCTCTCCAGGGAGAAACCCGTGCTGTCTCCACACCACTTCGCACGCGACAGGACCGTCAGGATCCCTCGTCTAAGACTTAAGTTTCCCCTGAAACTGCCTTCGCTACAAGTGCCGGCCCCGATCCCGAAGACGGAGGCGAGGGCAGAAGAAGAGCCGGAAGAACCAATGGAGGTGGACGATCAGGTAGAGACCCAGGGGCAGGAGGAGGAGAAAGGGGGCCCATCTAGCAATGGGGGAGCAGCATCCACCTCGAGGCCCCTGGAGACTCAGGGAAACCTCGCTTCCCTCGGCTGCAGTCCCAGGGCCTTAAAGGAAAATGTCCATAGCAGGAGCCTGACAGAAACAAACAGGTCTGGCAAGGCCCTTGTACCTGCGATGAGTCGCCACTCCCAGGGCCATGGAGAGCCCCGCGCACACAGCCCTGCAGGAGGCGTCCTTCGCTTTGGGAAGCCTGACCCAGCTCCAGCAGTGCTCCCTGGCCCGGTTCCCGGCTGCTCCCATTGGCCAGACAAGGCGGCCTCTCAGGTGCTGGGGAAAGACAACCTGCCCAGGTCCTCAGGCTTGAAGATGGTGAGGAAGGAGGCCCCGCGCAAGGATGCTGCAGCTCTAGGAGCAAGCAGCTCTTCACCACCCAGAGCTGCCAGCCACAGCTCCCGACAACCAAAACGGTCAGGGCAACCCCAGCAGCTGCCACTGGTCCCTCCTGAGCAATGGAGGTGGGAGACAGACTTGGGGCCCTCACCCGCTAAACGTCCCCGCCTATCCCTGGAAGGATTCACAGACAACATGGGGGTGTCAGGGAGATTACAATCAAGGAGACTGAAAAAGCGACAGAAGAGGATAAAGAAGAGGCGGTAAACTGCAGGCAGAGCTTTGTGAAGCCAGCTGTGGGGGAGGTGGAGGGCTGTGGGCCCCAGGTGCCAGCCCTCCTGGCCTGTGGACCCCCTGCCCCTGGCTGCAGCCTGTGCCTGCTGTCTCCTGCAGCCACCTGAGGAAGCTCTAGGGTGAGGGCAGCTCCCATCCGCCCTTAGGTGGAGACACCCCGGGTGACGTGTGCAAACCAGCGCCTGCTCAGGCCCCCCGGCCACATGGGAAATGTATGCAAGACCCACCTCCCGCCAGCTGGTCCCCACCAGCTTCCCTGGTTCCTCTGGCCTCCACGCTGTCACCAGGCCCGACGACCTCCTCAGAGCCTTTTGGATCACACTCAACCCTGAGTGCTGCCAGGCCATCAGAGATCTTGCCTCCCCTAAAACGCCCTGCAACCCAGCCACATGAGCTTGTTCCTCATTCACCACAGCCCTATAGGCCTCCTCTCCACCCCCACGTGCCTCCAGCCTGGCTGGACTTCCGTGTGGCTCCACAACACACCCCGGCCCCCACAGCTCCCCTCCACACCAGCAGCGGCCGCCGGCTCCAACCACAGTGATCTCTGGACTTGGGCGCTCTGGTGAGCCCACCGGGGACCTCTCCTAGTGTAAGGAGGCTGCCACCATGTGGGGCCTCTCCACCTGCTCACATGGCAAATTCCAGCAGCAGCATCTTCCCAACCACCCCCACAGAGGCTTCCTTCTGGGGAGACCCCACACCCAGGCAGACGGAGGCAGGTGAGTGCACATTCATCCACCCTGACGTGCAGAAGCTGCTGGAGACTGTCATCACCAAGAAGGCAGTGATGAAGCTGCGGCAGGAGAAAGAAGGCAAGGGGGCAGACTGCCCGCAGATGACACCACTGCGGAAGGAGTGGGATGCCACGACTCCCGATGCCTTCTGGAACCAGATAGCCCAACCACAGCAGCCGCCCAGTCTGCAGCAGGTCTCTGACGCCACGGCCATGGGGGACCACTTTCAGCAGAAATGCAGCCAGCTCTTCTGGGACCTCCCCTCTTTCAACAGCAAGTTCCTGGTGGCCGCGGCCTTGGTTTCGAAGGAGGCTTCCTCAGGAAACAGAAACGGTATCATTCCATGAAGCTGCCACTTCTCTTCCACGTGAACCTGAGGTTGAGACATCCTCACAACTTCCCCAGGCACCACCCTAGCCCCACCACGTGGCCCAGCCTCAACCTTTCACTCCAGCCAGGCCCCAGCCCCAGCCCCTGCCTCTGGCTGGGATCCAGACCCAGGCCCACTTCTCACCCCGTGTCCCAAGCCTACTGTGCTCTTCTCCACCCCAGATTAGGGGCTGTGGGGCATCTTGCCTTACATCCCAGCAGAGGGCCCATTCTGCCACCCCCACTGGAAAGGAGTATCTTGAATGGCCCTTGCAGAAGCGACCAAAGTGGAAGAGGGTTTTGCCCTCTCTCCTCCAAAAGTCTCAGGCTGTCCTGAGTGAACCCATTGCCCACCTTCCCCAGGAGAGGCCGGCCCCCCACAGCCCCAAGTCAGCCCCCATCGTTTCCAGGGCTGCCACCAGGCCTGAGCTCCTAGAGCACTGATGGCGAGGAAGGAGTGCCATCCACCAGGAGCAGCCCCGTGGCTCGCCTGGCAGAGGTCTCCACCTCTCGGAGACCCACTGCCACCCTGGGGGTGAATTCCCACGGAGTCCTCAGCATCAGGCAGAAGACACGCAGAAGGCCCGCCTGCCCTCCCAGCCTTCTGAGTTTTCGGGGAAGCACAGCGAGGATGGGCAGAAGACAGGATTCAGGAGCTCTGGAAGGTTGTCTGGGAAGGGGTGCTTAAGGTCCAAACGAGAGCCAGACCCAAGCCGGGATTGAGGGCAAAAGCTGGAGAGGATCCCAGCAGATCCACCCAGAGGCTCAGGAAGAACCTCAGTGAAGCTTCTGGAGGAAGACAAGCAGGAGGCAGAAGGTGACCTCAGGAGGGCCTGGAAGAACCAATCAGTAAGTTCTGCAACCGGGACCCAGACAAGAAGCATCCGGAAAATAAGCTGCAAGTCCATCTGGGCAGGAAGGTGGGGGAGATCAAGGAGGGCTGGATCCCCATGCCTGTGCATCGCTGCCGGCTCATGGCCAAACATGCTGTTCCCAAGTCTGACACCTGCCAGGGCTCTGGGAAGCTGGCACCC